TAATTTTTTCAAAGGTTCGATGCTATTTCACCTCAAAGTTACCGATCTTGTACTGGTAAGCCATCTCTTCCCGTAGTTGAGCTTGTTCCTTCATTGCCTGTGCCTGTAATATCCAAAAGACGAACATATTTTACGCAATAGATATTACCAAAAAATACTTTTTATTATTTCGTCTTTTTTAATATGGACAAAAAGATTCAATGTTGAGGTATATACCATTCCACTCTGCATGGAACGCTTCAAATCCTCCACTTCTTGCTGTTTTCGTCTTTCGCGCTCTTGTTGTAGTTCTACCCTGTTTTACAGGCACAGCAAATAGTTAATAAACGACTACTTTAGTTAAACAATAAGGCCATGCTCCTTTTAGTTGGAAAAATGTGTGGTAATAAACCTAAATGAAAAAAAAATTACCTTCGCTGTTCTTCATCATTAAATACAGTACGTTCAGACGCCACTGCTTTGGTGTAGCCCTTTTTCATTTCTTTCTCCATTTTACGCTGGTAATAAGCATCAAGGTTGTAATATCTGCAGCCATGGAGAATGAGAAGATTCACAAAGCAACCAAATACATTCACAATGGGAGGGGAGCTTAATATGCCGGTAAGAAAAAACAGCAGGTAATAATTATAAGAGGACTTACTTTTTAGATGGGAAGGTAGCCGTGTTATGATCTTCCATGAAACTGAAACAATTATATCCGTCATTTGAGTATAAGAGCATGAAAAGAAGCGTAAAAAGAAGAATTATGTATTAAGCATAGTCCCAATATTGAATTTCCATACGTAGATCAAGTAAACATACTCTTTGAAAAGCTGCTTCTCTTCCCAGTTAGGCAGACTCTCCAGGTTCACCTGCTCAAGGAAAATTATATTGTTCAGCCGGAGCACAATCTTCAAACAATTTGAAATCAATTGACAGCAGCAACAACAACAACAACAACAACAACAAAGCCTTTTAGTCCCAAACAATTTGAAATCAATTGACAGCAGTTTATCATAAATCATGCACCAAAAAGTAAAGAAAATAAAAAACGGCACTTGTGAAGTAACATTTTAACATCAGTATCCAAAAGTAAAGCATACATGACCCAAAAGAAAAGGGTAAAATATAATTTATTAATTATTTTTTTTAGAGAAAATTAAGTAAAATGCAGTTGGAAATTGACATGAGCATAATATGAAAATAAGTAGAATCAAATCCTTCAAAATGGTTACCTTTTTAATTTCTGCTAGCCAGGCGGTAAACTCGGGTCGTTTATTCCTGCATAACAGACAGGTAATCAAACAAACTAGTCCAGAAAAATCACAGAATGCAAAGTAACCAAGGAAAAAAAAAAGAAAAATAAAAGGGCAGGAGGAACCAGAATGTTCGACAGGTATAGATCCTGCAATTTAGAATGTGATGGAAGATTACAGACCCCAAAAATGACCAAGTAGGTTAGCCTATTTTACCAACATCCTAGCTTTACTTTTCAGCCACTGTCTCTCACAGCTATTTAAAACAGAAAAGAATTCCAACACTTAATGGTCACTAGAAGCAGTCACAAAACCACAGTAATATGAGAATGGCCAAAGTCGAGATCTGTAAACCTTATGATTCCATTATAAATGTTTCATCACTATTTCTTCTGAAGGTCAATGCTCCACAAGCGCAGAACTATAGATGGAGCCAACTAACCCACTACTAGAACTGTCACTTACCGTTTCCCATTAACATCTGGAAGAATATCCAAAGTGAAATATTCAAGTTTTCGGATAAGGATAATGCGGGAAAAGATCGAGAAAATGTCAGCTAAATAACAAAAGTCATCAAAATTTGGGATAATTCAGAATTATGCTAAATGCCCAGCTATTCCATAGGAATAATGCATTTAGTTATGGAGGTTCATTACATATGAAGTTATCTGTAAACTTATATATGTACGGAATTGAGGGATTAAAAAGTACGAACAGTTTTATCCATTTACGATCGGAATGTGAGTTTCTTCTGTGCTACTAGACTGCTTTCTTTAGGCCATAAGACCTAGAAACGGTTCCTATATCAATCATATAAGACTTTATTACACAGGTATTCATGAAATATCCCTACAAACACCATATGGGAGTGTTTGCAAACTCTAAAATAGATACAAAAAAACATCAAAAACGATTCTTTAATCCTGCAATGACAGCTTGAGCTTCTGATAATTATAAATCCGATGGTTATAACAAACTTTTGCACAACAAAGATAACACCTTTGCAACTTTTTAACCAAATAATAATCACACCAATTTTCAGCTTCTATTTCAAAATACTACCAACTGTCCTAAGCCAAAAGTGTTTGCAACCAGATATCAATTCCCACCCCAACCAAACCTTTAAATATCAATCTCACACCAATTTTGCAATCTCTCCCAAAGGTGTCATATTCTCACCATAGATGTAACCATAGCCGCACATTGCAGCAACTGCAGGCATCGAACGCTAAACATATCCACCCAAACACAACCAGAGCACTCGATAAAAAGTTAAAAACCACAAGCAAAGCAGCAAAACTCCCAATGCTAACTGCACTTTCCTTCGATAACCCCAACAAAAGACAAAACCCAACTCCCAAATATATTGACGAACAAAAATCAGAAAATACATACGACATATCAGCAAATGCAAGCATCGAAAGCCACACATAGAATCCACACAAACACAAACAGAGCAATGGATAAAAACAACAAGCAAAGCAGCAAAAGATCCCAATTCTTGCTCAACTTACCTTAATCATCTCAACAAAACACAAAAACCAATTCCCAAATACTTGAAAAAAAAAAAACAAAAATCAGAAAACACATACCACATATCAGTTTCCCTGATAATCCCGTACTTTCCCCATGAGTTCGTGACAGCGCCTTTCTGCCCTTTATCCTTCTCCTTCTCCTTCTTCTTATCCTTCTTCTTCTTCTTTTTCTTGTCGTCCTCCTTCCTCTTCTTCTTTCTAGACCTCTCCTTCTCTCTCCTCCGCTTCTCCTCCCTCCGTCTCCTCTCTCTCCTCCGCCGCCTCCTCTCGTCCTCCGAATCCAAAAATTCCGACTCGGAGCTCGAATCCGAGTCGTACTCGGACGAGGACGACGATGAATAGGAGTCGCTTGCCCTCGACCGCCGTCGTTTTGAGCTCGAGCTTCGTGTTTTACTCTTCCCACCCTTCGCCCGTTTTCTACCGCCGTCGGATTTTCTGGAATCCTCGTCTTTGCCGGAGTCCGAATCCGGGTCGGGTTCGGATCCGCTCTCATCCTCCGGCCGACGCTTGTTTGCACCCATTTTCTTCAAGTAGAAAAGAGAACGATGTTGAGGGCTCATATGCTGCGAGTCTCGACCATCAAAAGCGCTGGTCATGTTTAACGCTTTTTCATTTACAAGAATTTTATAATTTTTGAAAAATAGGTGATATTAGCTAAAAAAAAAAAATTACAAGTTCTCTCAATTACTACAAGTTTCTTTTTTAGATGTGGATGTCGCATTTATATGTAGCGATTATCAAACACTCACCACGGTATATTCTAACTTACCCATAATTTTAATGCAGTTACTGAATCTTTACGTTAAAGTAGTGTGTGTGAATTGATTCAATAGTAAAAATAACTGCAATTGTGTGTTGTGTGTAGGCGATTATTGAACATTCCAACACGGTATATTCCAACTTACACACGATTTTAGTGCAATTATTGAATTTTTACGTTAAAATAGTGTGTGTGTGTATGTGTGTGTGTGTGTGTGTATGTGTGTGTGTGTGTGAATTGATTCAATAATAAAACAACTGCAATTGTGTGTCGTGTGTAGGCTATTATTGAACATTCAGCATGGTATATTTCAATTTACACACGATTTTAGTGCAGTTATTGAATCTATATACTGCAACTTACACGCGATTTTAGTGAAGTTGCTGAATTTTTACGGTTTGAGCAGTATGTATGATTGATGCAATAGTAAAACAAATGCAATTGTGTGTTGTGTGTAGGGTCGAATATTCTTTTTCACCCCTTGATCGTTGATCTAATAGTAAAAAAAACTACAATCGTGTGTAGGATCGAGCCTTTCCTTGAACACATCTGCCAAAATAGGTTCAGTGAATCATCAATTTTGTGTACTTTCTTATAACTGAATCCTGTTTTTTAACTTACAAGTAACAGTATAAATATTACTGTTGCTTGTATTTAAATTCTACTCGATTCCGGATTAGTCGGTTCCCCTGTGAATCCGGAAACCGGAAGGTCCCTGTACCAAAAAAAAATTCTACCTTGATGTTGGTAAATTGGTCCCTATGCACTTGGCTACAATACTGAGAATTGTATAAAAAAAAAACTGTTCTATAAAAGACACCCAAAACCCAACAAAAAAAGTCAAAAGGCCACAAACATTGGTATAATTAACTTTTGTCCCAATAGACATAGAAGCATCATAATGCACAAGATCACCATAAACAGTATAAAGAACCTCATCCCACAATGGAATCACATATTTGTATATATATATATATATGTATGTATATATGTGTGTGTATCTATATACCTATATCGACTTCACTTTCTAGCAGTCGCAGTCTATGGTATGTACAAACGAACAAACAGCTCATAACCCCTAAAACAAGATCAGGCAAAAGATGATGAAGCAGAACAGAAAGATCGAAACACGATTAAGTGACTTGTTATAGTTCGAGTAATAAGGGTAAGAAAACAGATTCGTGTCCTGGCTTGGGAACATCCGAGCAAACACCAACTCTCCCACCATATTCATAGTCGGACTGTTGAAGCTTGCGGATGATGATGATGGAACCGCGAAAGAATGGGCTTGTTGGTAAGCCCGGCTGTTCAGTTGAAAAGGGTTTTGATAATTTTGCGAGGCCCGGAGGCCCGGTGGAGGCCGGCGAGGTACGGTCAGATCTAACTTGTTCTTGGGCTTTTTTTTCGTTTCGGGCTTTGACGAGCCACGCCCGTATAGCGGGACGAGCGTGGAAATCGAGATGTGTGATTTACAAATGGGGCACTTGGGAAGTTCCTTTTTTGACTCGAGCGATGAGTTTTGAACACGGAGCCATTTGTATATGCATGGCCAACAGTAGAGATGGCCGCAGAGTGTGATCACGGGGTCGTGGGACGAGTCGAGACAGATGTTGCAATCAAAGCACCCGTTTGGAATTTCTTCCGGCCGTGTGCTCGAATTCTGCATTTGCTTTCGTGAGAAATCGCGCTCCAATCTGAAACTCGTGGTTATGCCACTGAAGTTTTGCTGAAAAGCTGCAGAGAGAGAAAGAGGATATATGATGTTCAAGATCACGGCTTGATTATATATTTTAGGTTTAGTTAAAGAAAACTAGGGGGATACTATACTGTGGATCAAGAAAAAAGAATTATAGGTTAGTTAAAGACACACATAATCAACAGGGAACCAAACAAAACCCAAAAAAGTTGATAAAAAATAACAAAAAGATGTAGTAAAAAGCTAGGTGGTATTGAAGATTTGTCAACAGATAATTATTGCAGGTTAATGATATAACAAGTGGAAGAAGAAAAATGTCAATTTTACAGGCTGTGTGATTCACTAAAGAGTGGGAGGGTTCCTTTTTATCACTAAAAGACAGGTTAATCACAGTGGGTGGCTCTAATATGCACCTAGAGCTGTAAACGAACCGAAGTTCGTGAACAAAAGCTCGTTCGAGCTCATTCGTGTTCGACAAAAGCTCGTTCGTTTGTTAATCGAGCCGAGTTCGAACAGAAAATTAGGCTCGTTTAATAATCGAACGAACACGAGCTCGTTCGTGAACGTTCGATTATGTTCCTGAACATTAATTTAATCTAATTTTATTTTTTATATATTTACATAATATTTTTAATAAAAAATCTAGAATTTAATATAATTTTTTATTTTTTATATTTTTACATAATATTTTTAATAAAAATCTAAAATATAAAAATATTTTTATATTACTCTTTTAGTTTCGAGTTCGAACAAACAAATTTTGAGTTAATCAAACATATTTAAAAAGTCTATGTACTAAATTACTCGAACACGAACGAATTCGAATTTTGATGAACAATTAAACGAACGAACTCGAACACGATTTTTGCTCAAAAAATAAACGAACGAACACGAACACTGTTCGAACGTAAACGAACACGAGCTCGAACAGCCCAAGCTCAGCTCGGTTCGGTTCGTTTACAGCACTAATGCACCGGGTCACTTTAACATATAATATAGAACAGAGACAAGTCAAGCACCATCAATAATTCCATAATAAACAGTGTGTCACAATCATGCACGTTGTCCTTAAATAGGAGTATGAAATACATTTACAAAGGCAATAACCATTGATGATAAAGAACTACAATACAATCAAACCGCACATGAAGAAAACTTTGATGCTCTATATTGTTGCATAAGAACTAGAGTATATTAAGTTCAGACTTTTTGCAAGATCCACAGTTAGAAAAGAAACGAGGGAAATATCGCATCAAATTCATCAATAAGTCATTCTTTTAGCTTGTGCCACCAATTGAACAGGATAAAACAAAGACATAACTAAAACATTTTAAATGGAACTACTCATCAGTCTCGAGTGTATTTTCGCCTAAAAACCGGGACTTATGAAGTGGAATATTCCCAATGCATCCAAACAACTTCCCACCGAGCTATAATTATCCAACAACAAGACGTAACAAAGTTTCTAATGATGCAACATTCGATGATGTCGATATCAATGTTCAGAACTAGTAATTCCAATAAGAAATATCGTTCCTAGGTTCGAGCCAATGGATAAAAGTAAACTGATACCAGTAACACCGGAACAGCTGGATCGAAAGGGAAGGACAGAGAAATAGAGAGCAACTTGAGACTGCCATTAGTAATTACAGTTAAACCATACAAATCCTAGCAAATAAACCTTCATCAAAAAGATAAATAGATGAGCTAACATGCTTGGAATTCCAAAAAAAAGGACACCAAATATGAAATATTTTGAAACCAATGAAAGCCATCCATGTAAAAACCAAACACTAAAACATGGGTCAATCAAGAAATAGAAAACAAACAAACAATCTCTCAATATCTAAGCAAATGTTTTATTTGGAACAAAACAACAAACAGATAGCCTTCACAGTTCACACATCTTCAGTGCAAACCCAGACAAAAA